CTCAAAAAGTCCCCCCAAAAGAGAAAAACACCCTAAACAAACAAACAAGAAAATCATTTGAACTCAGCTACAGAGCTGGGTGTGGTGGCGCGTGCCTTCCTTTTTATGATCCCCTCTACTTGGGAGGGCGGGGCAGGAGGCACACAGCCTCTGCAGCTCCCTTGAGTACCCACCACACTATTTCCCGTTTGCGATGCTATTGTACATTTCTACCAACTCCGCACGGGGTCCCAGGGTCTTCACATTCTCACCAGTGCTTATTACTCGTGTGTGTATGTGTGCTCGCTTATAAAAACCACCCTAGTAGGTGTGAAATAGCAAAGTAGCTTGGATTTGCATTTCCTTAGTGGTCAGCACGGTCCCTCCTGTCAGGTTTTTATTTCACTTACACATCTTCTTAGAAAACTATCGAAGTCTTTTAAGTCTGTTAGCCATTTTTGAGCCACAGTGTCTGTTTTGTTCTTGTTGAGTTTTAGAAGTTATTCATGTAATCTGAAAATAGATGATTTGCAAATATTTCTTGCATTCTGTGGGTTGACTTTTTACTGTGTTGATAGTGTTTTTTGATATGCATTTTAAAATTTGCATGAGGTCTAATTGGTCTTTTTGCTTTTCATGCCTACTGCAAAGGACTTGAATAGACATGTTTTTCAACCATTATTTTTTTTTTTTAATGTTCTTTCCTTCCCTTTTGTGTTTCTTCTCCTACTAGAGCTCCCATGATACATGTGTTGGTCCACTTGATGCTCTTTCACAGGTCTCTTAGGCTGTGTTTGTTTTTCTTCAGCATTTTTTTTTCTGTTACTGAGCCTCAAGAGTTTCCATTGTTTTACCTTCAAGTTTGCTAATTCTTTCTTCTAACTGCTCAAATCCTAATTTGAATCTCTCTAGTGAATGTTTCATTTCTGTTAGTATAATTTTACTTCCAGAATTTCTTTTTGGTTTTTTAAACTTTGTTTTAAATCTCTTTATTGGTGCTTTCATTTGTTTGTACATTGCTTCTTGACTTTCTGTGCATCTTTCTTTGGGTTCTTTGAGCACCTTCAAGGCAGTTGTTTAAAAATCTTTGTCTGATAAACTTGCTGTCAGGTCTTTCTCACAGACAGTTTCTGGTGATTTATTTTTCCCTTTTGAGTGGTCATACTTTCTTCTGTCTTTCTAGGCCTTGTGATTTCGTTGTTATTGTTGAAAAAACTGGACATTTGAATCTAATAATGTGATCACTCCAGAAGTCAGATTCTCTTCCTTCCCCAGGGTTTGCTGCTTTTCTTACTGTTATTGCTTCCGTTTACTGTTTCGATTTTTTGCTTGCTGTAGGCTCTCTCTATGCCAAGGATAAGGCTGACGTGTGAACATTACATCTCCTCGGTTTTCTCTGAGGCTGTGTTCTCCTTGGTGTGCACGATCACTTTCTGTTTTCCTCGTATACGTAGTCTCCTTTGAACTTCCTGGTCTTTAATGCCTAGCTCCCAAAAGTTGAAAGGGAGAACAACAAAGGGGCATGGGGTGAAAAGGTCCTTTAAATCTGCTGGAAGTCACCACAGCCAGAAGGGCCAGGCCTTAACAACTGAGCAACAGAGGCTGACATCTCTGTGTCTGCACCTTTGTGATCAGAAGCAGCAATCAGCAGCGCGCAGGTCCCCAAGATTGGGAGAAGAGGCTCCTTTTGCACACACAGTTGCCTGACAAAAGGGCGGAGTGTGAGGACAGAGCTGGAGCTGATCGCAGACTGATGTTACAAAAATAAACCTAATAATAATTTTATTTTTCACTTTAAGTACAGTTTTTCATTGCAATGGCCTATTCAAAGCTTTGTTATGAATATAAAAGAGGCTTTGTGTTAGACGAATTTGCCTACTTGTAAGCTAACGTAAGTGTTCTGAGCATCTTAAAAGTGGGCAAGGCTTGCCTGTGAGGTTCATTACGTTAGGTCACTAGATGCATTTTTCACTTGTAACTTATTTTCAATTTATGATGGTATTTGGGATTTAAGCCTCTTTAAATCAAAGAGCACCGATCCTTTGGTATTGTAGACGCAGTCATTATGAAAAGATCATACAATCACACCGGTCTGACGCATCTGTCACCTCACATAGTCACCTTTACAGCAGGGCTCATGATACATTTAAGACCCCCCCCCAGCACATTTCACATTTATATATATATTTTTTTATTTTCTTTTTATTTTTTTTTGTTTTTCTCTGGTACCGGGAACCGAACTCACGACCTTGCACTTGCCAGGCAGGCGCTTTTTGCCACTGAGCTAAATCCCCAGCCCCACATTTCACACTTATAATTACTGATTATCCTCATTGTGCTGTACGTTTGATCCCTGGAATAGGTTCATTCAGGTACAGTTTGTACACACTGACCGACATCTCCCCCCTTCACCCAAGCTCAAACCCCTGGCAATAACCACTCTATTCTATTTCTTCTCTCTCTTTTTTTTTTTTTTTTTTTTTTTTTTTTTTTTGGTCTTTCTTGAGACAGGGTCTTGCTATGCAGTTCAGGCTGGGCTTGAGCTCACTTTGTAGCCCAGACTGGTCTCGAACTCACAATGATCCTCCTGCCTCAGCCTCCCGAGTGCTGGGTCTATTCTGTTTCTGTGATTTGAAATTTTTTAATTCCACATATAAAGAGTGTCACACATTTTTGTTTTTTGAGACAAGGTTTCACTATGTAGTTGAAGATGGTCTTAAACTCAGTATATAGTCCAGGCTGGCCTCAAACTAGTGGCAATCCTCCTGCCTCAGCTTCCACAGTGCTGAGATCATAGGCGTGTGCAACCATGTCAAGATCCTGTCTTTTCTATAATAACTGTCCTAAAAGGTATTCCTGATATATCGTGATATCTCATTGTAGTGTTGATTTGCATTTCTCTGATGGTTAATGATGCTCAGTATCCTTTCATGTAATTGGTGGCTATTTATATGTATTCTTTGAACAAATGTCTACTCGGATTCTTGGTCCATTTTGTGATTAGGCCTTTGGTTTTGCTGTTCTGCTACTGACTCATGAATTTCTTATATATCTTGGATATTAACCCCTGATTAGGTTTATGATTTGCAAATATTTTCTTGAGAGAGGGTCTTGCTATGTAGCTGAGGATGGCCTCAAACTCACAGTGATCCTCCTGCCTCAGCCTCCTGAGTGCTATGATTACTGGTGTGCACCACCATGTCCACCCCTAATCTTTGCAAGTTAATTTCCTTGAATGCTTTAGAAGGAGGCGGACAGATTCTGCCAGTGCAGGAGTTTCCTCGCCGAGGAGACGCCCCCCACCCTGTCATCATCCTCGTATCTTTCTCTTAATTACTTCTGACGAGGTCAGTAGGTTAGAATGAAGACGCATGAGGAAAAGTAAAAGATAGGGAGCTGCGGGACTCGGGGGGGGACAGTAAGGCGGGTTGCGTCCGAGCTGAGACATCTTTAGTGGAAGACAGTGAGGGCGAGACCTAGTACAGCAGAGGCGACTGAGGTATAGGGCAAAGAGCCCTGAGGTTGGAGGCAAAGATTCGGGATTGTGCTCAGCTCTTCACCCCACATCTTTATCCCCTTCCCCAGTACCCGTGGCTCGAGACAAAGGACATGTATAATCTAGGAGCTGGAGACAGAGTGTATCTGAAATGGCATCGCAAACTTCAGAGCTCTGTGCAGGGTGGGCAGCGATTTGTTGAAAAGAATCTGAAGGAACCAGACAAGAATCTGCTTGGACCAGAGGTGAGGATTCCTGGCTGTCTTGCAAGGGCTGCACTTCCTGTGAGGGCTCCAGGGGGACAGCAGGCCCTGCAGTAGGCCACTTCAGCTGCAGATGCACTCTTCCAACTTAATTTGAAATTCCTGGCCAGATATGGTGGTGCATGACTAATTCCAGCACTCAGGAGGCTGAGGCAGGAGGATCACCGTGAGTTTGAGGCCAGCCTGGACTACATAACAAGATCTCTTAAAAAGAAGAAGAAGAAAGAAAGAAAGAGAAGGAAGGAAGGAAGGAAGGAAGGAAGGAAGGAAGGAAGGAAGGAAGGAAGGAAGAAAGGAAAAGAAAAGAAAAGAAAAGAAAAGAAAAGAAAAGAAAAGAAAAGAAAAGAAAAGAAAAGAAAAGAAAAGAGACCCATGGTTTCCTGTGAGTCCTAGTCGAGTTGCATAAGCCCAGGACAGGCTGTCTGGGTGAAAGTGGGGTGTGGGGTGTCTGGTTCCATATTTACCATACAGGACAGCTAGAACCTGGGATTAGTACCAGAGGTCACAGTGTATGATCAAGAGGCAAAGCAAGTCATCACCCAAGAGGCGTGACCTGGAGGGCCTGAGAAACCCCTTGCCTGAGGTGCTCTCCAGCTGGCCTTTCTCTGCTGCCTGGAGTGCCTGCATGGCTCGGTCTGTCTGAGGACGCCTGGCATTCAGTATGGTATAAGAAAGCTGTGATTAATCTCTGTTGTTATTATTATTATTACATTATTATTTTATTATTATTTTCAATTCCAGCATGGTACTGGAGACTGAACCCAAAGCCTTCCACTGAGCTACATCCCCAACATTTTAAATTTTTAAAATTTTGAGACAGAGCCTTACAAAAATCATTAAGTTACCCAGGCTGGGCTGGAACTTGTGATCCTCCTGCCTCAGCATTCCAAAGTGCTGGGATTTCAGGTGTGGCCCACCGTGCCCGGTTAGACGAAGGTGTTAATGTACAGGTGATGCCACGTCTGTCTCAAGGACGGAGAGGTCATGCGCAGCAAAGATGGACTCTGAACCAGGACTGTCCACCTACCCAGTCTAATACTTAACCACTATGTTATTGGCTCTAATCCCAGCACTGGGGAGGCTGAGGCAGGAGGATCATCATGAGTTCAAGGCCAGCCTGAACTGCATAGCAAAACCCTGACTCAAAAAAACCAAAAGAAGAAAAAAAAAAAGCATGTGTTTAAATTTTTAAAAAATGTTTTTGCAGTAAAAGACACTGCCATGAATCTCCCACAAAATCCTCCCGCTTGCTTCAAACACACTTGTCCCTGCAGGGGATTCTGGCCACATTCTGAAGCAGTTCTGAAAGTCCTCTTTGAGGCTTTATGAGATACGATTTCACGAGCATGTGGTGAGTGCTGTTGCCCGGTGCCAACCCAGGAAAGGCAGGTCTGTGCGAACATCACCGTGTCCCCATCCATCCCGTCCACCATCCGGGGCCGCCTGACTTCTGACGCCGGGGGACTCCCGGCTCTTGCCCAGAGTCAAAGCGATCACGAAAGGTAGCTGTTTTGAATCGATTCAGAAGTCTGAGGCAGCCGCGAGAGTGCAACTAAAGACACTGCTTCAGAAAGTGGCAAAAGCGAAGTGTACTGGAATAAGGAAGAGTGTTTTTAGGGGATGAATAACAAAGTGTCGTTTATAACTTTTTTGTTTGTTTGTTTATAACGTTTTTAAAAATTTAAATTCACCATAGTCTTCAAACACATCTCATTTTAGCAATGGAAAAGAATACACGATCACTTGTTAATGCTTTTAGGAGCTGTTCCCTGCTCCACTTTTTATTAAAAAGATTAAAAACTGTGTTTGCTTGCTCCTGATATTTCTTTTATAGAATGGGGGGAATAATCCTTCGCCTCCGTGGTCGCAATGGGGCAGGAGAGCCGGGGGCCAGGCTTTGAGCTGAGCAGTACATGTGAGGTCCTAGCACATGTGAGGTCCTAGTTTCATGCTGCAAGCCTGAAAAAAAAAGACAAATGAATTATGGTAAGATGTTACCATGAGCCAATCGCGGCTTTACTGCAAAGGGAAAAAAATAAAATAAAAAGGGGAAAAACTTCCCCACCCCCAGCAGTCCCTAACGCCCCCCCATTGTGCATGGTCCCCACTTGTGCGGGCAGTGGCTTGGGGGGCAGGGGGATTGCAGCCCCTCTCTCACTGTCTCCAAAGACCCCTCGCATGGAACCAGGCCTGAGCCCTGGGCTCCCTGATCCCTTAAGGGAAGGGCGGGAGCAGGAGCAGCGGAGATGACACCTTCGGCTCCTGGTGTTCTTCTTTCAAGAATTAAGAGTAGGCAGAAATCTTTTGTCTGTGCTTTTTGTGTCCCTTTGTTGCTATCTAATTGCAATTTCAAAAAAAGTCAAAGTCAAGTCTGGCAGACCCCCAAATACTTGTGTTAGGCAGGAGAAGTCCTTGGTGGAACAATTGTCCTTACCCAGGAGAGCACACTAAACCGTCACAGCTATTCCTGGGAATTAGAGCCCGGCTCTAGTCCATTTAGCACACTGCCAGGTCTTCAGGCTGGGTCAGCAGCCAGCGTACCTCTTCCCTGGAGGACAGTTGTGGGAACACACTGACAACAGGACGCTGTGACCTGCGAGACAGGGTAGGTCCCGGGGAGGCCTCTGGCCCTGTGGGGCTTACACAGGCTCACCTGGGAGTCTGTTCATATAAAATAAATCAAATTAATTTTATTTTTTTGTTTTTTGTCTTTTTGAGACAGGGTCTCACTATGCAGTTCAGGCCGGTCTTGAACTCACTTTGTATCCCAGGGTGGCCTCGAACTTGCAATGATCCTCCTGCCTCAGCCTCCTGAGTGCTGGGATTACAGGTGTGTGTCACCACGCCTGGCTAATAAACCAAATTAAATGAAACAACATACATGAAACTTGCTGTAATTTTAAGTTTTTGTCATTAGCTACATTACATAGGATCTGGGCTCTACAGATCCCTGACATGTAACAGGGAGATTCTGTCTCTCTCTCACATACACACACTCACACACACACATGCACACACGCATGTGCATGCACACACACACACACACACCATGTAGGGAGAGGGAAATGAAGTTTAGATATAAGAATTTCTGCTCCTGAGTCTCACGAATGTGATGCTGTAGCGTGGGTCGGGGTGGTGGTACACACAAGAGAAACTTCAACAAAGAAATGCAGAGGTGATTTTCCTAAGGTCTCAGGAGACTATAACACTGGAGCAGTCAGAAAAACCATGTCTGCGGGGCATCTCTTTGAGAGGCCCCTCCTGGGTCTCACCGGGGTCTTTGGCTTCTTGTCCGGCTTGCTGTCTTGCACCAGAGGATTCGGTGACGGTTCCTCTCGGCCCTGGCTGCTGTGTGATCCTGCCGGACCTGCAGAACTGACCGGAAGCTTGAAGCTGGCCGCGGGGAAAACCAAAGAGGAATTTTCTGCTTTCACTTGTGGCACTAGGGATCGTTTTTCTCAGAATTAAGCCTTTTACACATGAAATGAAACAGAACGAAACAAAGCAGAGGAAGGAGTTTTTAAGAGGAGGGAGAAAAGGAACAAAAGAGGAGTGGGGGGAATCTGAGGGCTGTTCCGGGATTCTTTTCCACCAGCCCCCAAGGACAGGGGCCTTCACAGCCTTTGTACTCACGGGAACACCAGTCACACTTCGTTCTACGCCCGCAGCGACTGCCCAGGGAGAACGTGTGTCTGAGACAGTCCGAGGAAAACTTCCTCTCCCATTCATGTAGCTCTTTGTGGAGATTTCACTGCATATCATGTGTTAGATAGGATCTGGGCTCTACTGTAGATGTATAAGACACAGGATGCCGCTGCCTTCCGGGAGCTTACAGTCCCGTGCAGAAGGTAGGCACTATACAAGCAAAGACAGCAGTGTCTAACACGCGATTCTGACACGCTCTGCAGGTGCTGTGATGAACAGTTAGGAAACCTCGGATGGGGTGGTCACCCAAGGCCTTTGCAAAGAAATTACCCTTGAGCTGGGAGCAGAAGCAGGGGTGGCGATAGGGTGGGGTTGTGCACACAGTAGGGTTTCAGAGGGTTGAGGACACTGGGGCAGAAGGACATTTGACTGACACTTTACCTTTAGCACAAGCCAAGAAGCAGGGTTTCAAGAACACTAAAACTTCAGTCGCAGAAGAAAACTTTCCTGCTCCTTAAAAAGGCAGCTAACTCCCCACCCTTGGGAGGCTGAGGCAGGGAGATCAGCACAAGTTCGAGGCCAGCCTAGGCTATTGTGGGGAACCACTCTGACTGCTTTGAAGCTCAGGGGTGTCTAAGGACACCTGAGGATGTGACCCAGCTTGTCTAGCACAGACCAACAGTGGGATACAGTTATGTAACTTAGTGGGATACAGTTATGTGACTTAGCACAGGTCAACACACATGTGCTGGCTACGGCACTACGTAAGAATGTAAATGTGTGATAACAACGTGTGTAAGGATTACACGACAGAGACACGGGCGGCTCTCGCTCTTGCACTCTGCTGTGCTGCATGCTGCCTGCAGCTGCTAGCAACTTGCACACCTGCATTCTTTAACCTGGGGACCTCACCGAGGAAATCGCCCTTGCCCCGCCCCCCAGCAAGCTGACAGCTACATAGTGAGCTCAAGGCCAACCTGAACTACAGAGTGAGATCCTGTCTCAAAACAAACAAAAAAGGGAGGAAAAAAAGGCTTCGTTGCCTTAAGACTATGTTAACTAACAGGGTGACAGCGAATCAAGCCTGGAGACAGAGCTGCTGACCTTGAAGAAGGAAGGGGCCTCCGCTAGCTGGGGTTGGCAAGGAGACAGGTTCTCCTGCAGGATCTCCCAAAGGGCACGCAGCCCTGGAGACACGGTGAGTACAATCCTCTGAGTCCCCTACCAGACTTCTCTAAAAATGTAAGGTTAAAAAAAATTTGTTGTTTTAAGCCATTAAGTTTTTGGTAATTTTTAAATAGCAGCCTTGAAAATCGAGCCCAAGATTTATACACAGGTGTAGCCAATTCATTTTCGCTGCTGCGTGCAACGCCATTGTAGATGCTCCTTGCCTAAGTTTTGAAATTATACGCGGGCTACTCAATTATGTTGTTGCATGTACCTGCCGTTTATACGGCTTCATCAGTTTTCTATCAAATGACTCTGCCGTAATTTATTTCTCTAGCCTCCTACTGAGAAACACCGTGTTATTTCCTTTTTTTTTGCAATTATAAATGATGCTGCAATGAATATTTCTGAATTTGGTTCCTTATGTGCATGTGTAAGAGTGATAACCCACCGGGATAATGAGTCTAATATGAAGCCAGGTCTTCCCTGAAGGGAGTGCAGTGGTGGGATTGCAGGGTGCATGCATCATTAACTTTATTGTACATGCTAAATTGCTTTGCAACGTGGTTCTACTATTGTAAGCTCCTCCAGCAGCACACAAAGGCTCCCATTTCCCTACACACTCAAATTTGACTTGTAAATTTTTGCCAATATAATGAACCTAAATTGGCATCTCCCTTTAATTTTAATTTGTATTTTCCCGATTACTTGCAGAGATGAGCGTGTTTACACATATGTATTGGCTGTTAGTCTGTCCCCTTCCTGGCATGTCTGCATAACGGTGCAATATGGGAGAGGCAGTCCTGACTTTCCCAGGACAGTACCCAGTGGGAAACTGTGATTAGACCCTCATGGGTCTTCATGGTTATTTAAGTAGACTTTATTAAATTTAAGTAATTTGAGATGAAATTTACATGAGGCTGTGTTGAATATCTGTTGCATCACAGCAGATAAAACACAAGTAACCCTGTTTGATTTCTCTATGCCAAGAATTAAGAACTATTAGTTCTGCAAGTTCTGAGGAATTTGAGCATAGCTCTTTGCCTTTTTCGTGTTGGTGCTACTGGGGGTTGAACCGATGGCCTCACACATGCGAGGCAAGAGTCTATTACCCTGCACGGTAACCGCTTTCCACCTATATTTTCAGACAGGGGAGGTAGTGAAATCGCTCAAGTTAGCCTAAGACGCGGAATACTCTGGCCTCAGCCTTCAGAGTATCTGAGATGAGGATGATTATTATTGCCTTTTTGGAGACAGGATGTCACTATGCAGTTCAGACTGGCCTTGAGCTCACTTTGTAGCCCAGGCTGGTCTCAAAGTGACAACGATCCTCCTGCCTCAGCCTCCTGAGTGCTGGGATTACAGGTGTGCGCCACCACGCCCAGCTGAGTATCTGAGATGATAAGTGTGCACTGCTCTCTCCTGCTTTTTACATTTGTAATTTTGCAATCGAACTTCAGTAACAAGGACCTATTTTTCATTAAATAATGAACGTATTCTCAATTCTAATCAATTCACTTAAGAGGAATGACAAAGCGTCTAACAATAAGGCTGCCGTTTTGATAATGTTCAGAGGTAAAAAAGCAAAAATCACACGTGTATGGCAGTGCCGGGGTGTTCTTCTCAGTGGTGCTAAAGCTGTGGTGCGTGGACAGTCGCTCATTCCAGAGACCGACGGATCCAAAGGCTTTTATTTTCCCCTTCAATCAGAAATTGAAATTTCTGTCAGAAATTCCGAAAGCAGTCAGGAAAACCGCGTTGCTCTCCGCGGTGGCCCTGCGCCCTCTAGTGGAAGGAGTCCGAACTTGCAACGTGAAAGACGGTCGTCTGCACTACAGAATACAATGGAAGAGTTGTTTCTGCGTTTCTACTTTGTGACTACAAAATTACGTTTAATTGGTAAAGATTTCAAATTAATGTGTTTGTCGTCCTCGTTCGTATAGTGGTGAGTATCCCCGCCTGTCAAATATACCTGCATGTCTATTTACCTAGACATATCAGTCTGTATCGGCTGTCATAGATAAGCACAGCTATAAACAAATAGAGAAAAAGTAGATAGAGGTTGTGGGCTTATTTTCCTTCTCTCCTCTTCTGAGTTTTTGTGACACGGAAATACCCTCAATAAAAGTTTTGTATACTGAGGCTTCAACCCAGGGCCTGCGCGTGTTATTTACCCATGTAGTATGAGCTACATCTCCAGCCCTTTCTATTTTGAGACAAGATTCCTGCCTTAGGTCCTAGTATCTGGGGCCGTTTGCCCAGCTCAACAAAGATGTGGACTTTTTTTTTTTTTTACTTTTTAAGACAGGGTCTCGCTATGCAGTTCAGGCTGGACTTGAGCTCACTTTGTAGCCCAGGCTGGTCTCGAACTCGCAATGATCCTCCTGCCTCAGCCTCCCAAGTGCTGGGATTACAGGCGTGTGCCACCACACCCGGCAAGAGGTGGACTTTTTATTCGTTACAGTACTAGGGACTGAGCTCAGGGTCTTCACGCTGAGATACATCTCCAGCTCTTTTTATGTTTTATTTTGATGCAGGATCTTGCTAAATTGCTAAATTGCCCAGCCTGGGTTTGAACTTGCAATCCTCCTGCCTCAGCTTCCCAGAAGAAATACATATTCTTAGGTCCTGTCCCAGATCTACTGAATCAAAAACTTAGGCTGCGCTCTGCCTTGTGTGCCCAATCTGCACTCTCAGTTTACAGATGAGGAGCCTGCGATTTGAGAAGATTAAGTCACTAGTTCCAGAAAAGTGACTGGCTACGGGCAGGGTTAGGTATTAAAGCCAATGTGCTTGGAATCCCTGGTCAGGGGAGCTTCTGTTTAGCTACCCTGCCTCCCCTTGATTCAGGTGCGTATCTTCTTAGAGGCTCTGAGCACCTTGGGTGGTTTGTAAATGTCAGGCAGTAGGCAAGGTGGATGAACGAGTGAATGGAAACAGCCCCTAATCAGAGGTGGGCCGAGCCGAGCTGGTCGTGTGCTGATCA